TTTCAATATTGAGCACTTAATATTGATAAATAAATTTTTCAATTTATTACTACTCATTACACACACACACACACACATATACGCCAATGTTCGCTTTTACAGTTTCCTTTATTCTTTCTCTATTGATATAAATTGTGAAATAAATAAAACGGATAAAACAGATTATAAAAAATGTACCATCTCCCTTAGCGAAATAAGTCTTATTGACAGTCTATTCCTGCGCCACAAGAAAGACATGGCAAAATTGAGAAGAATTGATATGAATAGGAGCCATAATATGCTCTCTCCGTGTAAATTATAAACGCTCACGTGCGTCCCTCACGTGCGGCGTGCGCGAACACGAACGCGCGTTTCGCGGCGGGATTTTCACGCTATCTTAGAATGGCGCAATAGACAGGTTATTCACACCGTGCGGTCGATTAAGCGTAGATGAACGTTAATGCACCGCCGCGAGTATGTAAATTACATCATTCGATGAGCACGGGTTTACGCATCGGCGAATTGCTTAATAAACCGTGTTAACGGTTAGCCGATAATCCAGGATGTGGCGATGTTCGTTCGTAGCGCGGTTCTTAAAACAGAGATCCCACGACCTGAAACGCAATTTCTATTATATATTGTGGCGCGGCCGAATAATATGCGCTTTTGTTCGCATCTATCTCCACGTCATCGCCGCCGCGGTGCATCGGTCTTCATTACGACAGTCGAAAAATACCAAGTTGCTTGCAGATGCCAAATTAATTAAACCTGCATAAAGAGAGAGAGAAAGAGAGAGAGAGAGAGAGAGAGAGAGAGAGAGAGAGAGAGAGAGACAAAAAGAGAGGAAGAGAGAGAGAGAAACAAAAAGAAAGGGGGAAGAGAGGGGAAAAGAGAGAGAGAGAGAAACAGAAAGAGAGAGAGAGAAAAAGATAAAGAAAGAGAGAAAGAGAAACATACCACGATTCCCCAGGACGATACATCTTCCTGCGTGCAGCGAAAAATCCGTTGGGAAATTTCAAGTGACTCTTTCCACGCGCGCAAACATCGAACGGAACACTATCTCTCTCCAATTTGCCCTTAATTTTTAACGCCAAGTATCTCGGTGACTAAGCCGAGCGGAGAATCTCAAGCGGAGAGGAACGAAGACCACTCTCGCGCATGTTTTTATTCTATTAATATAAACCTGTTTGATTTGCAATCGCTTCTGGAACGTTATTTAAAATTTCTACAAGCGAGAGCGCACGTCTTTGCTCGCGAAATTTCTGAAATTACATATTCAGAATTACGAGTTTTATCGTTGTCGATGGCTTGTCGAAACCGCGCGGCGACACCTCAACGCAATTCTTCGCCGACTTCGCGGAGAGAAGAGCCGGCTTTTTTTCTCGGCGTCGTGCCGGAGGTCGAGCGACGGCGTTAATACACGTTGAATGTATCTTCATCAGGGACAGCGGGGATCGTAATTTAAAAGCGCGACGCGCCAGGTAGTCGCTTTTGTATCTTTGCACCTTCGCAGTCTCTAAAATATGCACGCCCTCGGTGAATCGCGGTCGCGAACCGTGAGAAAGAACCTTTCTTCAGTTATTTAAAATTCCGCGTGACCACCGTATGCAAATCACTTGGGGCCGGTGTGTCTGAGCCGATATTACCGTCCGGAGGAAGCGGAAGGGCGAAAAAACGGTCAACGCGACGTGAAATTCAGCGTCATTTTTCTGTCCCTCTTGCATGGAAAGACAGAGAGAAAGAAGAGGGACTGTTCAAGCCATGAGATTGCGATACGATTGCACATGAATTATTTGCTAGTCGTTAACAAACGACTTCGTGAGACAAGGAGATCGGAGCAAGATGCTACAGATCAGAATTGCGAAGTTACGATTTCTCAGACAATCAATTGTCGTGATAAGAACAACTTTTCTCTATATATTTATGTCCGTAACGATCCTGTATATTTTGGGTAACCGTATATTTTGTTCTGTATCCAGCAAACATAGAATATAACTATTATAGAATATAGAAGTAACACGTAATATAATGGCTATTATACATTGTTAACGTTAAAGTTAACATAATTTCTTTTTATAACTGCAATAATACGCTGTTTTATAACTGTTATAAATCTTTGTTGTTTACTAATTATAACGATATAACAGCAACATAACTTAAATATAACGCGTTATACAGCAAATGTATTGTTTACATTACATTTATGTTATGTAACACTTGTACATCCAGATATTAGATCGTTTGTTAAATGGCTCTCGTTTTCTCGTGCGTTTCTCGTTGAAATATAATGCATTAATTGTATGCACAAGAACGATGATCACAAGACGTCAACATTTGCACCGTGCAGTCTACTCTTATAATGAAGTGACACATACACATCACACACTTTGTGATTAATAGTAATTACTGGCATAGTAATAACCCTTACCATTACAATATTTATGGGAATAAATAAATGATGATAGAGCTTAGGTAGCACAATATATCCTGGGTGTGTTCCTGGGGCATTCTCTGTTCAGAATTTTTCTAGGATGATTATAGAATGATTCTGGAATATCTTATATTATTCGGAAGTTAATCAATTTAGAATGATAAGATATATTACTATCTTTATTAAAGAGTATTTTGATATGAAATATTTAAAATAATGTTGGAAATATACTTTTATAAATTAACTAGTATTTTAGAAACAGTTTGCCGCTGCATACAAATAAATACCTGCAGTTGCTGGAAAATGGATAACTTATATTCTACTTGTATAACATTTCAGCAATCAATATATATATATAGATTGCTGAAATGTATGTGCCAGTAATTACTATTAATCACAAAGTGCGTCACTTCATTATAAGAATAGACTGCACGGTGCAAATGTTGACATCTTGTGATCATCGTTCTTGTGCATACAATTAATGAATCATATTTCACGTACGAGAAACGCACGAGAAAACGAGAGCCATCTAACAAACGATCCAATATCTGGATGTACAAGTGTTATATAACATAAATGTAATGTAAACAATACATTTGCTGTATAACGCGTTATATTTAAGTTATGTTGCTGTTATATCTTTATAATTAGTAAACAACAAAGATTTATAACAGTTATAAAACAGCGTATTATTGCAGTTATAAAAAGAAATTATGTTAACTTTAACGTTAACATAATAGTAATTACTGGCACAGTAATAACCCTTACCATTACAATATTTATGGGAATAAATAAATGGTGATAGAGCTTAGGTAGCACAATATATCCTGGGTGTGTTCCTGGGGCATTCTCCGTTCAGAATTATTCTAGGATGATTCTAGAATGATTCTGGAATATCTTATATTATTATTCTCTCCTTAAATTATGTTAACTTTAACGTTAACAATGTATAACAGCCATTATATTACGTGTTACTTCTATATTCTATAATAGTTATATTCTATGTTTGCTGGATACAAAACAAAATATACGGTTACCCAAAATATACAGGATCGTTACGGACATAAATATATAGAGAAAGGTTGTTCTTATCACGACAATAATATATATAACAATTATATATATATATATATATATATATATATATATATATAACAATTATATAACATTTTAATAACATTATATAATTATTATATAGTTATAATATCGTTTGAGTGGAAAATTACAATTAAATTATAACATGCGTCATATACAATGTTATGTTGCATTCCATTAGATTACAAAAATATAACAGTTATATAATTGTGTTGCTAAGTAATAATTGAAATATGAACATGCTGCAACGTGGCTATATGACCCTGATATGGCAGATCAAATTGGTTAACAACTCAGGATAAGAAGGCCACATATAAAATATGTATCCTGATTAATAGTATCGGGGTCTCCGTGAGAGATTTCCACAGTCTCTCCTACGTGGGTCTTTAATTATTAGCAAACTTTACCTCGTCCGCCCATATGCTCCATTTGAATCATTTTAGGAATAAAAATAGCTTTTAATATCTAAAATAGTAGATCATACGCTTGCAGGAAACTTCATTATAACTAATAATCGTCACTTAAGTTTATTCATTGCTAATGGAGAATATTAATACGAAATTTAGAGATGCTCGAGAATGTAATTGACTGCTCTTTTACATTAGTCTTTTCTATCTTTAACTGTAATATTATTCCGATTTTAATAAAACCCCCAGAAAAAAATAGTTATGTTAAAATTTTGAGAAAGTGAACCACCTTAAGCTTCAAAAGCCCTAGGAAGCATGAAATAATTTTGAATCACAATATTCTTATATTTCCCGATAGACTGATGTACATATATAAATTTTACAACAACTTTAAGCAGTATTAAATGACAAAATTCAGCAACATTGATTTTCTTATAACTGATCAAATTACGATCATATTTATTATAGAATGACGAAATAATAACACGAAATATACGATAAATAAAAACACGAAAGAAATACGAAAAAAATTTTTTTAATTTGCTCAAAATAATATGTCATGTTAAATATAACATGAAAATCAGAGTGTAACAATTACTAAATTTACTGCTGTATCGATAAACGCAAAACTTATATTATTATATGAAGTAAATTGTTTTTAATAACAAATTCAATATATAGTACATATTTACTTCAAAAGTGTAACTAAAAGAATTTTAACGTTTCTATCAATTCTGTTTAACGTTGTGATAATTTTAATATTGTAGTGATATTGGAAGTCGACTAAAAAATCTGATTAATTGAGGCAATAATATCTTTTTTTATTTATCACCCTACAGTTATATACTGTCAGTAATCTATTTAATTTGTTCGCTTCGCGTACCGACTTCTAATTCTGTTATAGAATATTAAAATAGAATTGCATATATATAAGAATATTGTTCCAAAATTATTTCATATTTTTTAAGACTTGACGTTTCTGAAGGTGGTTTATTCTTGTTAAAGAGCTTTTTATTTCGTATTTTTTAATTATTTAAAAGTCTGTTTTTGAAGTCGGTTAAAATAAAAATTTCATCTTGTATTTTTAGATATTCTCGGATTTTCAAGAAGATAATGAAATTATTCAATTTCCTAATCACTTGAATAAACTCAGGTAATGGCACTAATCTAAGAACTATACAAATAACATGCTGAACAAGTTATATCAAAGGTTTTACCTCAATATCTCTAACGGTTATTGAGTTATGAGGGAACGTACAAATAGACGACAAGGCAACCTAACCTCCTTTTTTTGAAGTCAACTAAAAAGGGAAATATTTTGTGATCTCGTTTCTATTGTTCTTTTCACGATAAACACAAAGCACGTGGCGAATATACCCCTTGGACCAACTAGACCCAATCTCCCCTACTCCGCGCACTTTGTCAGTCAGCCGAAAAGTTCTCAAACTCTAGTAATTTCATTTTTGAGCTCGCGGATAATGTAGCGCGGAGATGCGCGAGAATAACGCGGGATTAATAACAGTTATGGCCCAGTTTAGCAATTCACAGGCCACGTCAGTTTGCTTATCCTTAGAAAAAGAACTCGCTCGCGCATTTGCCTCACGTAATGTATTTTTCAAAAAGGACCCGCGTCCGGTATAATATATTCGCGGTGTTGTATGAATATCATTCGCGCGCGCTCGCAAGGAACGTGAACATGATAAATCATTTTATCACATGTGTCCAAACCGGATATTTATATTACATCGTGCACGCACTGCGATTTCATAATATGAAAATTACCGATAAAACATAATAATACAAAATTGTTCACTTTGACAAAATTTCAGCGTTAATTACCGCATCGCGCGAGAAGCGGACTTGTTGGCGGTTTATTCGCAATCTTGCGCGCGTCGACGAAAGACTGATGGAACATTTTAATTATTTCAATGAGAGCCTCCAGCCTGGTTTAAATTGCACGACTGTTGCGATTAATAAATCATTTCTTGATTTGTTGTGTCGCTCGAAACCTGACCGTCAACGTATAAATCACCACGGATTTGCATAATGCCGCTAATCCCACCGAATCTTATTTATCGCGCATAATGTTGATGGAAAAAAAGCAGAGGATCGAAAGCAAAAAATAATGAATGCGAAATTAAAGAGCTATTAAACAGCAGCTAAACCAAACATATAATGTTATCCATCAACACAAGCCGACTTGATGGCGGCGCTTGCGCTTGATCAAGAGATTTGGAGTCATCGATCAAGAGCTCCTTACGAATACGTCCTCCAGTTTACTAAACTCGCGAGGAACTTCGAAGCGAGACCCAAGTTCCGCAAGTATCGATACGCGCAGAAGCGTCCCAATCAGCCCAATATTCAAAATTAAACGTCCTATCTTCTTTTTACTCTAAATATTCTGCGAAAAGTTTCACGAGAACGTTCGCGAGGAGAATGAAACGAACTTGCGCATTTTTCTTCGAATCCCTCCGAATATATAATACTTCCCCAAAGATAGACAGATGTGCGTAAATTTGGCAACTCTATGAATCGATTTACCAAGATTGCATCTCTCATGAGTAATTTATATACAGTAAAAAATATTTTGTATTTGTGTTACAACTGGTCCTCATTAATATTTTTCTATTAAACTTTTAATATAGCTATATGTTAATTTAACATGTTAGATTTGTGTTATCCGATTTTGTGCTATTGTATTGACATATATTAATATGTAAGCATTATAATTAAACATTTTATATTTTAATACAGATTAATATGTTATAAATTAGATATTATAGATAATTTATTAATAAATTAATAGATATTATAGATAGTTTATTTATAATTTTATTAAAAAATTATGTTTTCGCCATCTTACGATATATATATAATATGTGTTGTGTGTGTGTGTATATTTTACGATATGTGTGTGTGTGTATCTTACGCGCGCGCGCTCGTGTGTGTGTGTGTGTGTGTGTGTGTGTGTGTGTGTGTGTGTGTGTGTGTGTGTGTGTGTGTGTATCGTAATTTTACTCAAAACAATGTATCATGTGACACAAAAATTTGAATGTAATATTATGTTTCTCATAAATTTGTTGCTATATAAATAATTATATTATTCTATGATGTAAATTTAATCCAACATAATATATTTCACATAAATATAATTAAAAAAATTATTAAGTTTCTACATCACCGATTGTCTCATGTGATAATTATGAAAATCTATTTGAGTATTGATACGCAGAAGCGCCGCAATCAGTTTAATATTCACAAAATCAGACGATATATTTTTTGTATTTCTTATTTTTTCTCATTTCTTTTTATTTCAAATACCGCGAAAAATTGTACGAGGATGTTTGCAGAGAGAATAAGATAAAATCGTTCATTTGACCATTTTATTTTATTTGAGGTCATCGATCAAAAACGCCTTCCAAATACGCCCTCCAAATCGCAGAACTAGCAAGCAACTCTGAAACGAGACGCAAGTTCCGCAAGTATCGATACGAAGAAGCGTCCCAATCAAGTTAATATTCAAAATCAAATGTCCTATTTTCCATACTTTCTTTTTACTCTAAATACTGCGAGAAAATGCACGAGACCGCGGGAAGGACTAAATAAAATCGTCTATTTGACTATTTTATTTGAAGTCATTGCAAATGCATATCCAGATAGATAGACGTGCGTAAAAATTTGGTAGCAACGTTATTGATTTGTTAAGGTTGCTGTCTGTGAGCGGCGCATATAGCATACATATTTATCACATAAAATAATGAAAAATAATATAGAAATATGCGAAAGAAATTGTCAGAATTTATTCAAAACAATGTGTCATGTAAAATGTAATGTAAAAATCTGAATGAAACTTTTTATAAATTTGTCACTGCATAAATATCACAAGAAAGTGATATTTTTTACATTGTTAAATCCGTAGTGTCAAATTATACTTAATTTGAGTTATTTTTAACCATTCCTATAAGTCGCCTGCTCCTACTAAATATGTCGTTAATTTAACTAATGTAATGGAGTTAAATAATTTAACTTAAGAAATGTATTAAATTTGATTAAAATTTAATTTATTTTTTTATTATGTGCACGTTAATATAACCTTTGTTTTAGTAAAAAATGACTTAATATTGTTTTAAATGGATTGATTAGATGTGGTTGTTTTTTTAAATACATGTTTTGTGTCAAAATAGTAAATGTTAACATACATAATAGTTAAAAATAACTAAATATTATTTAACTCAAGAAATTGGTTTAAATTTGACCCTCCAATATTTAACAGTGTATGATGCATTTTTCTATGATATAAATTTAATGTTTAATTTAACACAGTATATTTGTTTTATATAAATGTAACTAAGGACGTTTTTATCAGATTGTCTCGCATCATGATAACCATAAAAGTCTATTTAATCTGTCGCCATCGGGTCTGTGAAACCCAGACCCAGACGATTTTAAAATAGATTTTAAAATTCGATTCCATCTGTGAGTTAGCGCGCTGAGTAGCTGACATTTAAACTCCTCACGTTCCCTCTAAATAATTTTTAAAATTTTATATAAAAAATTCACCTTTTAAATAATTTGCCATCTTAATTTAATTTTAAGCAAATATACGAGTAAATCGTAAAGTCGTAGCTTACGAAATCAATCGTAATGTTGGTAAAACTTACAAACCGTAACTTTATTGACAACTTCTAGTTAGTCGTAAGATTTACAAGAAATCGCAGATATTTACGAGTTATCGTGTGATATACGGTTCACATGGAATTGCAAATCTACTCATAAGTTCTTACGAGTTTTACGAAAACAAGTTACGAGTTTTACGATTTTGTCTAGAATAGCAGTATAAATATGTAAGTTATTTACATTTAAATGGCTTGCACACTTTTTCGCACGTGAAGTTGACGTCGCTTAAAATGGTCACGAATATACCGCTGATAGGATTGTGCATTAAGGGAATGCCAAATTGAAAATTTTACCGACAGAAGACTGATATTTTTCTGGAAAGTTTACGTCATATTAGTTACACAGGATTACAAATGCTTTTACACAATAAAATTACGTGCAAAAATAAATAGGAGCATTGCTCGATATGTGACGAAAACAAACAAAAAATTGTTAATGTAAAATCTCAAGCTGTCAGCGTAATATTTACCTAATCCAAAAGTTCCGCAGCTTGTACGTACCGAAAGTGTGGATGCTCCAAACAGAAAAATTTTGAAGAACATTGTTCTACCTTCACTTCTGCTTTTGGAAGTTTAAGAATATCGAAAAAGTTTGCAGAAAGATTTCTACACATATATGATTAGGTTTTCCGTTGAATATGGTAAAACAAAGCAACACAATTGTGGCTTTGCACAAATCTCCAAATTCTGCGTCATGTGTATGTTACTTATACAAAAAATTTTTTTAGAAAAAAGAACCACTTTTTTAATGAAAAAATGCCAGTAGCCTAAAAGTTAATCGACAACTGTCAAAATGACAATAAAATGTGAAAAGTAAATGTCTGAAAGCAAATTTTACCAAGAAAACGTGACAACATGTTAATAGATTGTCTTAATAAAATTTACTTTCATACAATTCATGTAAATTCTTTATATACAAGAAATACGAAGAGGATAGCATGATTATGTTAGTGACGATCGTCTCTGCATTATCGACATTGTTCGAGTTCATCGACTCCAGTATCCCCTTAACTTTTAGACGGGAAAACCACATTTATGGTTCTTGAGTTTGGGTTAAAATACTACTATTTTTAGTAGTATTTTAAATACTAAATGTATTAAACATATATGTGTGTATGTAGTCTACGCAACGCATGTGTCTCCGGTGCCCGCTTCGCGCTTAATCGCACTTATGTCGCCGAAACACATGCACTAATTGTAATGCTCCATTATGCATAACAACCTACTTTGAAAATTATCATTTGAAAGAAATTTTATCATAATTACGGAAAAGTCAACATAAAAAAATCATAAAAAAATATAAAAATCAAAAGTTATAAAATAAGCAAAAAGGTAAAAAAAACAAAAATTAAACATTAAACATTAAAAACAAAACAAAAAGAATCTATATGTTTATATTTATTTATATTGTTAATATTGCGCTTAAGACTCGAAATTTCATAAATCGATGCTCAGAATTTGAATCAGCGATACCAAAAACCCTCAAATATACTATTTTTGAGAAAATAAAAATTTTTTATATTTGATCGTGCGTTTCCTGCCGGGAAAGCCGCTTTTGTGGCTTTGCACAAATCTCTAAATTCTGCGTCATGTGTATGTTACTTATACAAAAAATTTTTTTAGAAAAAAGAACCACTTTTTTAATGAAAAAATGCCGGTAGCCTAAAAGTTAATCGACAACTGTCAAAATGACAATAAAATGTGAAAAGTAAATGTCTGAAAGTAAATTTTACCAAGAAAACGTGACAACATGTTAATAGATTGTCTTAATAAAATTTACTTTCACACATTGTATTGTCATTTTAACAGCTGTCGTAACCGAGTAATGCCCAACCCTATCAGCGGTATTGTTCGAGACTATTTTAAGCGACGCCAACTTCACGTGCGAAAAAAGTGTGCAAACTGTTTAGCAAACGACGTACGACTCGAATGCATGGATACTATACCATTCACTAGATCGATATTCACTAAAAGTCTCTAAACAGCCGCATCACGACTTACGCGTTTCTCATGACAGTTGATTAATCTAGTGAATGTGTTCACGGCCAATGTGATACTTTGACAGCTCGATGTTTCGTACACTGAGAGAAGGATTTAGTAAATATTATCAAAATTTGGTTACTATTACTAAATGATAGACGTAAATATAGCGGGCCAAAGCTATGGCAATACTTATTAATTAATTTAGTTCTGTAAAATAAATTATTTATTTGACAGAAGTAAAATTTATTTGCTTCCAGAATATATTTGATAAATAAAACTTATTGAATAGTTGAGCAAAATAAGCGATTTTGTAATAGTTACAAAATTTTTGGTAGATTCAACCAACTATCTGTAATAATAAGATATTGAAACAATGCAAATGAATGAATTTTTCGTTGTGCTGCAACAAAACATACTTATACTGGTAACAAAATAGAACTCGTACCTACTGAATCTTTTATTACATGAGATATAACAATTTTATAACAATTATCAAATATCTGTTCATAACTGTAATATATTTCATATTAAATATTTAACATTAAGTAACTATTACTAAATTATTTAATTGATGTTACTGTGAATGCAATTACGTCATATTCCCGATCTATTAAATATTTGGTAATTATTATAATATTTAGTATTAGTTACTAAGGATCCAACGAATTTTTATAACTAAATACAGTTTGTTATAGTTACCAGTCTTTTCTCTCAGTGTATACACGTCTGCAAAAAGGGGTTATCTGCTTCTATGTGACATGTAATCAATAGAGAAAAAGTGAAAAAGTTTTAAGAAAGAAATAAATAAGGAATTATACAATTAATTTTGTAAAGATGCATAATTGCAATTAGTTATAATCACACAGAAAAAAGGTTTGACTGAATTAACTAAACATCTGGTCGAATATAAATCCAAAAATTCCGATTGAAGTAACCCGAATTCTGTTTAAGTTAACAAGATTTTTGGTCCACTTAAACAGAATTCGGGTTACTTCGATCGAAATTTTTGGATTATTTATATTCGATCAGATATTTGGTTAATTCAATCAAACCTTTTTTTCTGTACAGAACTGATTTTGATCCGTAGTTAAGTTTGTGTACATCAGTAAGGGTTATCTGCTTACATGCAACTCCACATAGCGAGGCAGACAATTTAACTACAGATTTAAA